TATTATTATTATCTAATTACTATTATTATTATCTAATTACTATTATTATTATCTAATTATTATTATTATTATCTAATAAATACCAAGGAATATTCGTTGATGAATATTTTATTATTATTATTATTATCTAATTGAGGAAACAATACCGTGCAATCTTTTGTTTTTAGTAACACTCACTAGGACTGGGTGTTTTGTTTTAACATAAGGCATTTGAATGTGAATCTCATAAGTACAAATGAACGTGGTGACTTGGATTGTAACGACGTGGCAAGGCTACAATACTGTTTTATTCTAATGTTCTCAACCTCTGTAATATACATTCTGTTATAATCTTGAACTTGATTATTTGAAAAGTCTTCAGGCAATAACCCAACACGCCCACTACACATAAATATTGACAATTTAAATGCATTGAGTTGAATAAAAGGTAATAATAGGATATGAATAAGTCTGAGGACTTACAACGCTAGAAACCGGGTTTCGATACCTGTGGTGGGCAGAGCACAGATAGCCCTTTGTGTAGCTTAGTGCTTAACTATAAGCAAACAATCTACAGTTTAACAAGTATTCTTACTGCGTGTTCTATTTCCTGTTTGCAAAACATACAAAGAGCTAAACGTGGTTTTTCTAGCACCACCCCAAACGAAAACACAATAAATATGATAACAATATACTTAAACTTCAACATTAGGTATAGTTATTTTTTCTATTTTATCATAAGCATATGAGAAGCTCAAGTTAAAGTTTCATCACCAATAACTCCCGACAATTTTGTTCCTGTAACTTGATCAATAGTTATATCATCATCAATCGGTTAAGGTACAGTACTCGTCCCGGGAGGGTCAATGAGGCATATGATGTGGTCAAGTTTAAAATAAATCTAAAATCTCATTAACGGACGGCATTATTTTTGGAAGCCAACGACATTTCAAGGGAGCAAGCCTCCTTCGAAGTGTCTATTATAAAGTGCTTTAGTTGTGACGTAATTATATTTAATTTTACTCGTGTTTGGATGTCAGTTTATCTGAATGTAACCAAGAATTCGGGTTACTTAATTGATGCTCTTACAGTTGAACAAAATCAACATCTGCAAGACATACTGGTATAACCTGTAAAAAATAATTATTGTAGCCACGGTGCACTTTTTACAATATCATTGTTTATAAGCACACTGGTATAACCTGTAAAAAATTAATTATTGTAGCCACCGTGCACTTTTTACAATATCATTGTTTATAATCACACTGGTATAACATGTAAAAAATAATTATTGTAGCCACGGTGCACTTTTTACAATATCATTGTTTATAAGCACACTGGTATAACCTGTAAAAAATAATTATTGTAGCCACCGTGCACTTTTTACAATATCATTGTTTATAAGCACACTGGTATAACCTGTAAAAAATAATTATTGTAGCCACGGTGCACTTTTTACAATATCATTGTTTATAAGCACACTGGTATAACCTGTAAAAAATATTTATTGTAGCCACCGTGCACTTTTTACAATATCATTGTTTATAAGCACACTAGTATGACGTAAACAAATTATTATTGTAGCCACCGTGCACTTTTTTACAATATCATTGTTTATAAGCACACTGGTATAACCTGTAAAAAATAATTATTGTAGCCACCGTGCACTTTTTACAATATCATTGTTTATACATATTAAACCACAAAGGGCCTAACATAAAGATATATTACGATCATTATCTCGTCTAACCCTCTCGGAAATTTTATCTAACAGTGTTATTGCTACTAATTCAGTGGACAATCCTTGTCTAAACACATACAGCGAGTTTTTAAAATGTTAACTAATTATAATTAAGTCAGCCTTTCATACACTTAAAACTAATATCAGTGTCGAGTTATCAATGTTGTGTACGTCATCGTTTTTACATACGGATTTTAAATAATCATAAACTATACCTTTATTATCAATTATTATTATTATTATTATTAATACTTCTATGTAAATGAAGACAAAAAACTACTTATAGTCAAGAACAATACAATAATAATCGTGTAACTTTCCATTCTTAAAGAATTTAACAAAATTAACCATCTCGGTTGTATTAGAAGAGGGGAAAAACAACGAGTTTTTAATCAGTGAATAAATTAATCAGTTATGGGTTTAGAGAGTTCATCACTTGATCATGCTAGTTTTGACCAACGGTAATACTTACTAAAAAAATTTGGTAATATTATGTTTCTACCCGAATGGACGATTTACGTATCCCCCCTTGCAATATTATAACTAGGACTGGATAGCTATTTAATATAAATTATCATGTTAAATATTAGTTAATTCGTTTAATTCGCTATTAAACCATGGGCTATTCAGGTTATTAATGAGCTTTATTTTTATTATTATTAAACAAGTTATATACATTAATTAACTTTTGTTTGTTTATTGTTAAGCGCAAAGCTACACAAAGGGCTGTCTGTGATATGCCTACGACGAATAACAAAACCCGGTTTTTAGCGGTGTGAGCCCCCAGTCACCAGTAAGTTGGTAGTTCTAATGAACAAGTAAAATGGCCGGTCAGTTTCTTGTAGTTTTGTAATTACTTATTGATCTTTAAAATCCTAAAGAAGTAAAAATTGCTTTCATTACTTGTCCCTCAGTTATTACCTTCCTGTAATCGTAAATACTGAAAAATAATCTGAAATTAATAAAAAGATCATCCCCCAAATGGTATTTGGTTTAAACGCTCTATAAAAAGATCTGGCGGCACAATGTGGAAGTAGTGTCAGTGTTCGCATGGGTTTTGTTTTGTTTTGAATTTCGCACAAAGCTACTCACGGACTATCTGCACTAGCTGTCCCTAATTTAGCAGTGATAGATTAGAAGGAAGGCAGCTAGTCAACACCACCCACCGCCAACTTTTGGGCTACTCTTTTACTAACGAATATTGGGATTGACCAGAACTTATAACGCCCCCACGGCTGAAAGGGCGCACATGTTCGATGAAGGGGACTCGAATTCGCGATCCGCGTCCCTAATTTTTTTGGAGGGGTATTTATATATTCTTTAGCAAGGTTTCTGGGGATATATATATATATATATATATATAAATAATGTTTAAACTTCCAGAGGCACTTATAGATATTAATAGATTTCGGGAATACATTGATAAACACAGGCGAAATTTCTGGGGACACTCATAATCACTGGCGAAATTTCAGGGGCCATTCATAAACACT